GATGGCAAGCAGGAAGTTGAAGCCATACTTTCAAGCACACCCAATCAAAGTTCTCACTAGCCAGCCAATCAAGAAAGTGTTAGAAATCAAGAACCACTCTTCAAGGATAACTGATTGGTCTAAAAAAATGTGATTATGATGTATAACATAAACAACTCACTCTCCACTCTCATCAAATAAGTTATGAATTTCCAAAAAAATAATGCTATTATCTTTTGAAACTTCCTCATAAAAGCACTTTATAGTATTGTCAATGAGGACTATAATAATTACTATTTTTGAAAAATTACCATTCAGAATTAACTCCATACAAATTAATAATATAAATTTAATTAGCATCATGGGTTTAGACATTTACCGAAAACAAAAAATTTACTAAAGGCATGAAGTTTAGGTGTCCACAGGCACTTCATACTTTAATTGTTACCTACTACATTCTTGATACAGACATAATAATTTTGTAATTGAGACAATAAATATTACAACAATTAGTTTGGCATATAAATTTAGTCTTCAATATTTGCCTTTCGCCTAGTCATACCAATCATGAATAGTCGGATCATCATCTAGCCCTACATTTGAGAACCAATCCGATTCGTACTCCTCCAAGTCAGAACGGGCGTCTTCAAGAACGTAAATACTTTCCGAAACATACTCCAAAACCGATTCTAATGTGGGCTTGGGCTGTTACATAAAACCATATTAACTATTTATTATTATTTTTTTTAACTAGTTTACGTAATTAACAAAAAAATAATTAATCTAATATATATAAATAAAGTAGGCATTTTTTAAGAGCATTCGGCGCGCCACATAAGCAAAGGAATTATTTCGACCAATTAAAAATTAGATTTCTATTTTATTTTAGAATTAATAAATTCGTTTGCCACCTAAGTAAAAGTGACGAATGAGATTTAAGAGTTTTGCCACGTAAGTAAAAACAACGAATATTCATTTATTAGGATTTAATTTATTTAAAAAACTAAAAGTTATCTTTTAAACTAATCATCTTTAGATATAGGATTTATATACCTACTACTATAAGATAAATTTTGATAGTGTTTAAGATAAGAAATAAAAATTATTCCTTAATTATAATTAAATTAAAATTTGTGATATTTACCATTATAAATTGATGTATCATATCACACCAACAAAATTTCGTATCAATACAAAACCAAACCAAGCAAATTTTGTGTCATTAATTTGTGTCAGTTTTATTAGGTCATCAATGGCTGGGTAATTCTTAGCCTAATTTTAAAAACCCATGTTTAAATGTATATTTGTGATTATTGATTAAATTGTGTTTATTTGGAATACTTAATGATTATATGTTTATGTTTTGTTTACTGAATTTTGTTTTTACATGCAGATGTAATTTAATCACATAATTAAATTCGAGCAAAAATCTTTGGAATATCAAAGTATGAGTTTCTCGCTTGATAATCTTATTGGATGAGAAGGTATTATATCTTTATAAATCGTTTACATTTATTAAATCTTTTAATGAACCTTTTAGTTTTTATCAATTAATTTTATGATTAAAACAAATTTTTTGTGATTTAGGTAGCTTAATTAAGTCATAAAATTAATTTAATTTTTTATTTTTAATCACAGGGTGATTACATTCATGGCTCAATTAAAGTCAACTTTGTTCTACAATTTTTTTCAAAATTGATTATTATAATTTTATTTTTATTTTTGATTTTGTTCTACGAATAATGATTTAGGATTTAAATTATTTTAAAAATAATAAATTATTATCTTTTCACATTAAAGATTTTATGCTAATATGTAATCAATGAAATATCATATTTACATTTTTTTTTCAAAGATATCATATTATTGTCATATAACCAACAACAACGAATAAAATACAAAACAACAATAAATTAAGTGGCATTATAAATTACATTAAAAAAATATTTACTTTTGTAATTGGCAATATCATTTTAATTAAATTATTATTTTTTTTCTGAAATTATTAAATTGTAAAATAAATCAAATAATTAATTAAAAAAAAAAAACCCTTAGAGTATATAGGAAAATATCTTTTCTTGAGATATATGTATGACAATTCGTGCATCGCACGGTATTATTTTAACCAATTAAAAGTTAGATTTGTATTTTATTTTAGAATTAAAAAATTCACTCGCCACATAAGCAAAAGTGACGAATGAAGTTTAAAAATTTTGCCACGTAGGTAAAAACCGACGAATAATGATTTATTATTTAAATTATTTTAAAAAATATTATCTTTTTAAAAAGTTGATCTTTTGATATTAGGATTTAAATTAAAAAAAAAACTATAAATTATACAATTATTATATACAAACACTTTAAAATTAAATATTTGAAAAAGGAAAATATATGTTCATTTTGTTTTTAAGAAAACGTTCAATCAATTTTTTTTTTAAAAAAAATAAAAGAAATATCAATTATTAATAATTAACTAATATTCTTCAATTATTTTTCAAAAAAATCAATATTCTTCAAAAAAAAAATAACAATAATGTTCAATCTTTATCAATATTCTTAAAAAATAAAAAATAAATTAAAAACAATAATGTTCAATTTTTATCTTATCTAGCAACCCATTTCATGATTAGACAAAATTTTTATAAGAGATTTATTTGCTACTCCACAAATATATAAGATAGGATGATATTAAAGATTTGTGTACATCCTCTCAAAAATATAATTTTGATTTTTTTTTTTCAATTGTAAATAGACAATATATATATATACTATACCAAAAACACAAACATGTGAATATTATTTATTTACACTTTTTCACGGTGTGAATTTTTTTCAGGTATTCGTTGATTAACAAAAAATATTGGAAATAATATAAGTATATCAAGGCTTTTTGATGGTAAACAAAATAAATTGATTGTTATTCATTATTTTATAAGATGTATGTTTTGTTTTATTGTATCTAATCTAATTATGTTACTTATCGTATTAAATTTTGTTAAACAACTTAATTGTAACTTAATATTAATTATTCTGTATTTGAAGGGATTATGTCCATGCGCCAATTGAAAGAAATTATTGGAAAAGTAAGGGTCTGTTCTCTTCAGCTTATTCTCAGTTCTGTTCATAAAATATTCAGTTCAGTTCAGCTTCAATCAGTTCAGTTCACCTCAGCTCAGTTCAGTAAATTAGAACAGACCCTAAGTCAACTATAATGTTACAATAGTAGGGGAAAAAAAATTAAAGATTGTAAGAGAAGTCTCTGATAATTTTTATTTTTTGTGTATTATAGTTTCTGGTAGAATATCTATATTATTATTGTAAAAATCATTGTAGTAGTGTATACATATAACTCTATTATTAAGACATATGATAATGAAATTTCATTATAAAGATTTAATTTTATTCAATTAGATTAATTTTAGTAATGCAACACTCTTGGTAGTATATATATATTTCATTTAACTATTTAAAAATTATAAAGTCATATCTTTTACTATAACTCCCAGCGTCTTTATTTTAACCCTATAGTTTTGGGTTTACTTTATTAATTTTTCATTGTATAAAGTTGATACGGAGTAAAAGAATAATGGTGGTCTAAGTTATTGTTTGTGAAAGAAAAATAGTAATTCTATAACTATATATGTATAGTGGAACAACGTGTTTTCGTTATACAAATGAATCATAGGTTAAAAAAATACGAACAGGATTATGATTTTATTCTAATATCTATCATACTTATAATTTTCATATAACTAATATTAGTAAATTAAGGTTGCATTATAAGTTGCATAAAAATAAAACAAATTATCCGTTTTCTAACAAGCAAAATAATAAAAAAAATTATAGGGTTTAATTAAGAAAAAAATCTTTTTCATGAGATTTATGTATAAAAAACCGTGCATCGCACGGGCTTCCATCTAGTTAACATTACTTTAGGGAAAATAATTAATTTCTCATAAAATACCTTAACATAAAATAATGAACATCAAATAATAAATTAACATAAAACAATTATCATACAAAAATAGTTACCATGAATAGACTTGACAAATGGGTCGTTCGGGTCATTTTGGGTCGGGTCAAATTCGGATCAACAAATACTCGGGTCGGGTTGGGTCGTTTCGGGTTTCGGGTCAACACTTCGGGTCGGGTCGCTTCGCTTCGCTTTTGGGTCTGGTCAATTCGGGTTGGATCAATTGGGGTCAGGTCAATTTTCGGGTCCATGTATCGGGTCAAGTTCAGGTCGGGTCATTTCGGATCGATACTTGAGTCAAGCTTTATTAGTATATTTGTTTTTTTATACGAAATAATTATTATTGCTTTTAGAGAAAATATAGTTGTTAATGTTAATTCGTTGTTAGGGTTTTTTTTTTTTGAATTTTTTATGCAATAATATGATATAAAAAAATATTATTAGAGATAATACAAGCATTTATAAGTATATCACATATTATTCTAAAAAAAAATTACTCGGATTAATCCGGATGCCCGAATAAAGGATTCGAACCCTTAAGATGTGAGTCGAATTCGGACTCAGATTCGAGTCAATCAAATTTAGACCCGATTCCACGATCCGAATATTAAACAGAACCGATTTGGATTTAGCCTCATCTGACCCAAATCCGATCCGTTGCCATTCCTAATTGCAATTATTTTCTATTTGGATTTTCTCAGGTCAAGTATTTGGCTTAAATTGGTTTAGGTCATTTCAGATATAAGGTAATTTTAGTTCGGGTCACTTCGGGTTTCAGGTCTATTTGGGTCAATTAATTCAAATTAAATTCAAGTCAGGTGACTTCTGGTATTGGGTCAACTTCAGGTCGGGTTACTTCGAGTCGGGTCAACTTCAGGTTTCGGGTCAATTTCGAGTCGGGTCGGGTCGGGTTAATTTCGGGTTTCGAGTCAATTTCAGGTCACTGTTTTCGGGTCAAATTCGGGTCATTCAGGTCGGATCATCGAGTCTGGGTCAAGATTGCCAGGTCTATATTAGATCATAAATCATTTTGATAAAATTAACAAGGTTAAAGAAATCATTATCGCTTCGCCATACATCCACTGTGAATTTATGGTTCTCACAAAATAAAAACAAATTTCAATAACATGCTATTTTGCACTATTACTTCTTATAAAATGTTGTGGATCTAAAAATAACCCAACACCAAATTCCTTTGCACTATTCATGGTTTATTGCCTAGCAAGAATTTTAAAGAGGAATCGCACTGTGGTGCTATGGAGGGGGACACATGGTGCTAGCATCCGGCTGCACTGTTGGACGAGCGCATTGTACGCATATCACTTGGTTGTATGCTCAAGTGATGTGTCTTGCAATGGGACGAGGAAATAACCTTGGAGCGCCAATGAGAGCGTTTGTGGCTTAGGTGGGGAGTTTGTCATGTGTTGACAGATTCCCCGATGCCCGGACACAAGAAATCTCATGAGGCAACCTCCCTATACACGTGTGCTTATAATGATGTGTCTTGGTGCAAGTTAGTGTCATTGTGTGTTGTTTCCTCTATCATCGTTGTTTATAGTGCTGCTTGCTCATATGGGGAAGGCTAGCCTGAATCAATCCTTGGGAATTTAGTATGGGCAATTCGAGCTCCTCCCGTGACATTAAGCAATGATGTAATATTAGTAGGGGGTATGGCTGTGGTTAAGCTGCATGAGCCAATATTTCAAAGACTAATTTAACAGTAGAGCAGAAGCTTACCAGCCTTCAAAGGAGAAGGGATTCTTCTACAGTAGATGCAATGTGGTGGCTTCACTCTGGTTGGAGCTTCATTATCCAGCTCTTCATGTACGGAGTCCTCATGATTGTAGGGTCCAGGACTCTTCCGGGCATCAACCCTCTGGTGTTAAACAATATTGAAAATTATAAAGATACAACAATGAGAATACAAGTTTTAAAAGCTAATTGAATCACTGATATCACTCAAGCCGAGTTCCAGAGGTATAAAGAGTCTCAAAACCCTTGGATAATAATAGCGAGTATGGAACTAAATCATTAGACTACAAATACTGGATGTTGCCAACTATAGTTTCTGCAGTCAATTTTTCTTCAATGCATATTTTTGGAAAGCACCCCATTGACAGCTTCACAATCCTCGATACACTGAGAACCATGCCCTGTGAGAATGATCCCTGAGGCAATCTCTGCATTACGAGTTTCTCTTGAAAGGATCAACACTTTTGTCCACACAGATGATGACAGTAAGACAATTGCAAAATCGGAAATCAGAGATTCAGAAAATGTCACAATAACACCGGGAAATTTTTTTGACAATAATTTCTTTTTGTAGAAGCATTGACAATCAAAGAAACAACACTAGACAAAGATATTCATAGTTTTAGGCATGGTAATCTTACAGAAACTGCTGATGATCTTATCGGTGCAGTGGATGCGCATACAGCTGCAGGTTTATTCCATGTAAGACTTGACAAACAATAGATTTGAATATGACTAGATGAGCTTTTAATTCCTAGTATCCAGCACCAATCAACCCAGTATAATCTAAGTATGACTTCCACCTAACATCTCCAATTGTTTTCTTCTCTTCCTTTTTCAGTCAGCTGAACTGCTGGTAATAATTCTCTGTTGGAATTCCCATCGTTGAATTCTCCGACAATGAATATGATTATATGCGTCCAGTTCTCAAAGCTTGTCGGACTCTCCCTCTCTTTTGCCTTTGCACTTTCAAGCACCCATGTATTCACAACCTTCACGAGTAAATGAAACTGCAACTTAGAATACTATATTATGTCATATGAGATAATCAAACAATTTATGCACATAAAACCTGAACCAACATCTGTGAAAAAGAGAAACCCCCCCCCCCCAACAAAACCCAAAAAAAAAATCTTCATGGCCCTGCGATTGAAGAACAGAGTTCCATGATATAAAGGTATTTGAAATTTGTATCACAACATATGCAAAATCAAGCTTTGAACCTTTATATTGTTTATCCTTTCACTTGGCATTACTAAGGTAAGGTATCAATAGAATGCTCCATTACTTCTAAAGGGAATAGCTTGCACTTTCAAGGAAGGGACTAGAGTAGGGATTAATGGAAAATAAAAATTTTAAAAAGTGGCAGTAGAACAAAAGGAAGCAATTATTGACAAACTTCTTTTGGCATAAAAAATTAAGGGTTAAACTCAGCATCATCCCCCAAGAAAATACGTTCTTTCACACATCCCCAAGATCACCAAATTACCAATGTTTTCTGTCTCCAAGACCTTCAAAATATCCCTATGACATATAAGCTCAGAAAGACACATTTAGGGAGACGGAATAAAGTCTACACAGGAACACATGTGAACAAGGGGGAGAGAGTTTGAGCAACCTGTAACTATTAAGTGACCTTCCATCTCAAAGCTAATAAGTAATGTGAGGAACAACCTCCCCTAAATCATAAGGTGATTACTATCGCTTCTATCCTCAGTGTGGATATGGTTCCATGCCCACATGTCCAGTTGTCAAATAAGATGCTAAAAATGTACTAATCCATTTGTCAAATAATTATGGTGGCAATACAATCTTATTGGTGCAAAGGGAGAAAACAAAATCTGTCAAACTAAGGAAATTAACCTTGCTATTCTCAGAGAAATTTATTCAGAATAAACTTGGTTCCTCTTGATCTCCACTGCAACTGAGAGTTACTGAGGGGCAAAAACCTCTTTAATAAGTACAATCAACTGTATCTGAAATCTGTATCACTTTTCACAGCCATACTGATCTTTAGGTTGCCACTAAAGAGTGCCAATTGAAAGCAACAAATAGTGCTATAACTGAATTAGACTAAACATGACAGTTAGATTGATTAAAAGACCATTGATCTTTCCCTTCTCTCTTTTGAAACAGATACTATGACAAGTATTTATCATCTGATACAAAATGATTTCGACTAATTTCAACAACTAAAGTTCCAGACATATAGACTGAATCGATCAATATCATGGTACGAAAAATGTGAAATAAAATGGCCAGTTAAGTAAAGAGTTGTCCCAGGCCAGCCCACTGAACAGGACAAGGACCCAAGGAATTAATGTGCTCTGCATTGCCAGGTTGCTGCAGTTCTGTAAAATAGACTAGAGGATTGTGGACTTCCCCCCCCCCCCCCCCCCCACTATATTATTCTGAGAACCTCAAGCCCCAAGCACACTAGATTCAAGATAAGCAATACATATGGAGATCTTTTGGTTCCCTTGGTTAATCACGAAATATCACATTTTTCAGGATGAAATTACCGGTCATGGTTTGACTTTGACATGGCTCAATAGGATGTCTTTCTTTCCTTGCTATGCTAGTTCAATGAGCACTCCACACTTGATATTCAGCATGCCTTGCAAACACTTTTCTTATCAGCAATAAGCTGTTTGTGCAATCCTGGTTCAAAAACAGAACAGCACTTAGCCATTTTCAAAAACAAAAATCAACAAAGTGAACTGTGATATTACAGTGCCGAAAATAAAAATTTAACAGGCACTAGGCAGTAACATTGTTAATGTTCTATCTTAATTTTTATGCTGTCTCCTGTCTTCACTATTGCTGCATCAAACATTCTCTTATAATAATTAAAAGGAAATATACTTTTCAGTGGATTCCTTGTGGAAGCTATACAAAAATCAGAGTAATATGAAGCCACAGGTCAAACTTATTCTCGGTATATAATATCATCTGATATGGTTAAATTGGAGGATCCAATTCTCTTAGATAAGCCTACTAGCATATTGTACATGCTAATGCTATGGCTTTTTTTTTTTTTTTTTTTTTTTTTTACTTTTCTTCAGGTCCTTGAATTTAAACTAAAAGAAGAAGAAAAAAAAAAAAAAAAAAAAAAAAGGAGGATCGTGAAGGGATTAAGATTACAGCAATTATTATACCAGTCAAACCAGAAAGTGTAGAGTGCGCAAACCATAAACGAGCAAATTACACACATTCACTCATTGACCCAAGTAGTAAAGATATAGAGCCTGTTCAAGTCAGGTTCAATTTGGATTATATTGGTTCAGGTCATAGTCAGACGCTGGATCATGAATCATTCAACTTAGGCAAGGTCATATACTCATATTGGAGTCCAGTGCTAACACCAAAAAAAATAAATATTGGAGTCTAGTGCAGGCTAGCTTATTAAAAAGCAATCTATACAGTCAAAGTTGATCTTTGGATCAGGTAAGAGTTAAAAACACTTCAATTCATCTAAGTTTCACCCAACACCCTCAGATTAACAGAGTAACAGGCAATGATATTATATGGTCATCTTGGGAAATAAAAAGGGTAACACTATTGTTATCAACCAGAAACAATTAAATTGATGAAGAGACCTAATCCCAAACTTCCAGGACCAAACCCAACTTGACCTAGAATGACCAATTGCCAATATGACCCAAAAGTGAAACACTGGATTGGACAGATCTATCTTATTTATCGTCTTTCTTCATTTTATAAGGGTTGGGGTGTACAAACTACAAAATTTTAAAATACCATAGTTTATACACAATAATTTGCCAATTTAAACTGTCACACGCAGACCATAGATCAACATAGAAGATTGATGAAATTAAAGTGACTGACATACATGAATTAGTTGCAAATGTTTATAATTTAAACGAAAGAAGACAGGAGCAAAGTCGTTAATTTGATAAAGAAATGAATATAATAAGAAAATTTGTCAAAGCTTACACCGAGATTGTAAAACAATTACTAATTTGCAACAAGAATTTATCTAGAATGACACTTTTTGTAATATCGAGAAGTTTTACTATGCAAAGTAGTTGGAGTAACTAGTATGTACTTAAAATTAGCTACAGACAATGAAAGATGGACCATGGCTGGGTAGCACGATAAGGTAATTTAAGACAGCTAATATCTTGGAGAAGAAAGCATTTTCATTGGCTTTACAACTTTCAAAACCACAGATGGGTGGTAACCTGGTATTACAGATGTGGCGACGAATCATGCTGAACATCTATATTAGACCTAGTTTTAGGGGGTGATCACCAATTCCTATAACAACCTTATTCAACTTCCACCCTCTAATCTCTTAATTTTTTTTTACCTTCCCTCCTTGCTATTACTTAGGCCTGACATCCAACTAGAGACCCCCTGGAGGAACTTGCAACAGCAGCAGCCTTACCACCGAAAAAGTTTTCATATAATACACTACAATTTCTTAAGTACCTCTGCACCTACATTAAAGTTTCATTTGCTCAATGCAAACATATTTAGGAACGATGGATCAAAAAAAAGAAATATACAAAAGGTTTGGTTAGTTATAGGTGAATGAAAAAAGAAATAAGTAAGACTTGGTTGATAAAAGGTAGATAAAGAGGTTTTGAAAAAACAATAGAAGAAGAAGAAAATTGGATTTGTTTGAAGAAGAATACAAGAGGAAAATAATAGTGTTATATTGATTATATGTAAAAATAATTCTACCTCCGTTAAATGTTATGTGCAACTTTTGCCAAAACGGGATGATCAGGGTTATGTGCAACTCTCTGTTTTCTTTCTATTTTTAGTAAACAAAAACCCTGGAAATTACATATTTACCCTTACTTAAAAATTCTGATTTTCTTAATTTTGCCCTTAACTTAATTTAACCACATTAACCTAAAACTAATCAGATTTCCCTAATTTAATTAATCTCTCCATTTACTCCAAATCCCAACCACCAACAATTAATGGGTTTTGATTTTCTGAGTTTTGATTTCGTCTTCCTCTCTCCTCTTCGTCTATTTTCTGAGTTTTGATTTTCTGGATTTTGATTTCAATTTTCTGGGTTTTGATTTTCAAGGTTTTGATTTCGATTTTCTGGGTTTTGATTTCGATTTTTTGAGTTTTGATTTTTTGGGTTTTGATTTCGATGGAAGGTGATGATGATGGTTGGATTTCTGGGGTTAGGGTTTGAGGGCGTGGGTTTTGAGTTTTATTGAAGGTGATGATGGTGACGATTTCTGGGTTAGGGTCCTAGGGCGTGGGTTTTAGGTGATTTGGGTGACAATTTCTGGGTGTTGGGTGACAATTTCTGGGTAAGGTTTGGGATTCTGGGTTTGGTAGTGGTGGTGGTTTGTGGGGGTGGTGGTGGTGGTGGTTTCGTGGGGGTGGTTTCGTGGGGTGATACTGGTGGTGGTGAAGGCGGTGGTGGTGGTCGTGAAGGCGGTGTGAGTGGTGTTGACTGGTCTTGGTGGTGGCAGTAGGTGGTTGATTAATTATCCAAACATTCTCTCCCCACCTTAATTACATACCACAAGTTCTTTAAACTTTCTCTAATCTTGCCCCTTAACTTTTGCATTGGCAACCGCAAACTCCCATTTTGATGCACATAACATTTAACGAAGGTAGTAATAATAATATTTTTACTAATGCATTTGGAAAAAAACAAGATTTAGGGGTGTTATCTTAGTGGCTTTTTGATTGGCTTCCAGTTTTTTTTTTAGCCAACCAACCAAAAAAACTTATTTGGTGACTCTTTCAACCAAACTAAAAAGCCAACTTTTCAGCCATAATGAAAAAACTACTTGAATTAGCTCGTATTACGGCTTCTAGGCCAAACTGATTTAAAAGTGTTTCCTCAATTATTTTATTAATTGTACACTTTTTGTTTTTCACGTTTGTCAATGCGTTATTTCAACCACTAATATCTTAAATTATGCATTTGTAAAAAATAAAAAAATAAATTTTAATAAATTACACATTAAGATGAATCTAATAAAATCTTATAAACTTTTTGCTTTTCACGTTTGTCAATGTATTACTTCAATCAATAATATCTTTAAAGATGCATTTGTAAAAAAATAGAAGTAAAATTTTAATAAAGCACACATTGAGATGAATCTAAAAGATCTCATATAAGATATTTTTCCTTAAGTATAATCACAAAATGTAATCGATATAAAGTATATAAAGAGTGTACACCGTAAAAAAGTTGCAAGTAAAAATATATAAAATAAAGTATACATCCTCCATTTTTTTGAAGAGAAGTTATTGGGTGAGGCTTGACTCACCTATGGCTTCGTAAGATAAACCCAAAATAAATAAAATCTAACCTTTAAAAATGGTAAATAATCATATGACATATCATCCGGACAGTTAATAATATCATCTAGACAATTAGCAATATCATTCATCTAATTAATCATATCATCCATCCAATTAATCATATCATCCAAATAGTTACTGATAAGACAATTAACCATGTCATGCAGCCAATTATAATATCATCCATCCAGCCTAGACACTTAAGAATATCATCCTAATAGTTACTGATATCATCCAGACAATTAACCATATCATCCAACCAATTAATCATATCATCCGACTTAGACACTTAAAAATATCTTGAGAATTAATCATATCATCCAAAGAATTAATCATATCATCCAGCGTAAACACTTAAGGATATCATCTAGATAAGTAATCATATTATCCCGCCAATATCATCCCAACAATGAATGATATCATCCAGCCACGAATACTAATATTATCAGACAATTAATCGTATCATCCAAACAAATAATCATGTCATCAAATCAATTGATCATATCATCTAGCCAAAACACTCAAAAGATATTAATAAGAATTTCACTCCGCAAGTAGAGTCCAATGACAAGTGCATTATTGAGAATCAAGACCCTATCCACAAATGTTTTGAAATTTGAGGATATTTTAGTAACACGTAGTGTAAATTCAAGTATAGCGACTTTGGTCCAAATGTACATACTCAAAATGACAAGGGCCGCCATCGTACCACCACTCTTCAGCCACCACAACGACCTAGCTGCCACGGTACCACCACTAGCTCCCAGCAACCACCATCGCCTACTCAATCAAAACCACCCACACCTTTAACAATCCCCTTTGGCCCTCACCATACGGGGACTTATTTCCGTGAACATAGAGAATTAAAGAGGCAATAGTCTAAAAAATTTTGAGCTCTAAAAAATTTTGAGCTTGATCTTTTTCTCTCCTAAATTATCAGTGATTTGTGTGTTGGGTGGAGTGGATTGGAGATGGGGGATGCAGCAGGAGTGTATGGACTTTGGAGGAAAGAGATTATTTGGGTGAATATGTGAAGGGAAGGGCAGTCTCACCAATTGTAAGCCTCACCCAATAGTTTGTATTTTTTTAATTGCGGCATTTGGATTTTTACATTATTCACACAATAGTCTTTGACCATATTTTGTGATTTATCTGTGAGTAAAAAACATAATTATGTAGGATCTAGTTAGATTCGTCTCGATATCTACTTTTCAAATATCAACTTTTTAATAATTTTTAAGTATATAAAGATATTAATCGTCAAATTAATGCATTGGCAAGCATAAAATCACAAATGGTGGACCTATAAAAACCGAAGGAAGTATATAGCAATTTTTACTCATATTAATTGATTATAATATTTGTTTTTTGTTTTTTTGGGTATTGTTAAATGATATTAAGCATATTCACTATTAAATTGGCCAAATAGATAATCTAAAGGCCAATAAAAACAACCAGTCAAACTAGCCAAGTAAAATAGCCGGAACCAATTGTCAAACACCCCCTAGTAACAAAATGCCTTTTATTTGCACACAAAGGGAGTACTATAATATAGACAATGGTAAGTAAGCAACTAGTTTCCTTAATGCGGCAGGAATAGAGAGTGGGTCATTTACTTGGTAAGACATTAAATCGATAGGGGGAGGGAGTGAAGAAAAATCATATTAACAGTTAGGGTGTTTAGCTAAGGTGTTAAGTGGAGAGTAATGAGAGCAAAGGAGAGGAGGAAACCAAGTTTAAATCCAAGCACTATAAGTAAGATACACGATGCTGAATTGTTGACTTTAGTCACCAAATTCTGGCATAATGTAGGAAGTTAAATGGTAATTTCCACAAAAGAGTTTAAAAGATTATTTCTCAAAACATGGTCCTTTTATAAGATAATTTACGACCAACTTTCCTAATAATACAACTAAATTCATCTTAAGATATCTATATTATCATTAAAGAAATGTAGGATGAATGAAATACTTCCAAAACCCAAATCCCCACCTCATAACTAAACTACTTTTTAATGGCAATAATGATATTGTAAAAATGAAAACTTCAATAAAGAAGGAAGATTGAAATTTTCATATACTCAAATTGGAAAATGGGAAACCTCGTAATCCTTTAACCAAATTCAATTACTCTCCAAATAGGAAACCAAGAAATTGGATACAAGGAAACATCAATAAAGCATAATCAATATTCAATCAAGATAGTAAAATAATTGACATAAATTCTGACTCGGGAAAAGCAAAGATAGAAACTTCATAAACTTAAAATAGAAATTTAAAAACTTCAACAATTTTTGTATTTTTTTTTTTTTTTTTTTTTTGCCAATACAAACAACATTTTAGAGAAAGTAAAACCAAGATAATTTCAAAAATTGTATTCATACTCTCCAATATAAGGAAAAATAGAGACTAATATTAAAATTTAACAAAATACTTTAGAATACTAGTTCAATCATCAATATAATTATTTTAAGGCCATGTAATCTCTTTGTTCTATTAAAATCCTTCTCTAATGATTTAAATTCCCTTAACGCCATAAACAAAAAAGTTTTAATGGAAAGGAAAAGAAATACTTAATTTAATCTATCTCTAGTTTTTTTATTTTTATGAAAGATATATCACTAATTGTTTAATTAATAAAAACTTCCTCCGTTCTTTTATGTTCTACTCACTTACTAAAATACACAATTCATTGAAAAGGGTGATAGAGTGTAAGATAAAGTAAGAAAGAGAATGTAAAAAGCTAGATAGATGTAAGAAAAAGATAAATAAAGTAAGAGAGAGAATGTAAAAAAGATGAGGGTTGTAAGAAATAAGTGAACAAAGTAAAAGAGAGAGCCAAAAATAGAATAAAACAAAGGTAATAAAAAAAAGGGACTAAAATGAAAAGTGAGTAAAACAAAACGGAGGAAGTACAAGCTAGGATATTTTAAATATATAACATCAAATTTTGTTTAAGTTACTTATTAAATTAGGTAGTAAAGTGATTTATAATCATCTATTTTTCCTTCTTTTATAAGAAAATTGAATGCGTGGGGAATAACTAGTACTTACATATAACAATTACTCCATATATGTGATAAAATATTTACTGGAGTACTTTGTAGTTTGTGCACTAGCAGCCAAAGAGATAAAAATATGCTTTCCTATAAACTAAGTTGGATGCTACTACCACCAATATTATGTTTTCAGATCACAGAATGTCTACAAAATAATTGCTATGTGGTCCAAGAGAAAGTAATGTGCAAAAACATAGCACCAATAGTTGAATGAGAAAATGCTAGATTATTGAGACTCTCCATCATTAACTTTATAATACTATAATAAAGACTAAATCCTTACTTCCTTAGTACAGAGAAAAAATATAGTAGTAGAGACCAGTAGAAAGCATGAACAAATAGAAGAACGACAAGAACCACAAATACAAAGCGATACGTTACTTAAGTTTTGTTTGCTGCATCTGATTTCGTTCTAAATTATTTTATTTCATCTAAACTTATTATACTTTATTTGAACTTAGAGTGTGTTTAAAATTTTTTTATTTTATTTTACTTGAACTTATCTGAGCTTTTTATTTAGTCAAACTTATTTTGTTAAAACTTATTTCATTTGAATTTTGATATTATTTTGTCAGAACTTATATAACTAAGATAAACTAAGTTAAAATAAGATGAAACAAGCAAACAAACACTTAATTACATCTATCAGTTTGAAAAACACGAACAACAAATTTGAAAAATTAGGCAAGTGGTTAAGGTTCTCTACTCATATACCTAATGTAGAGTCTTTTTAAACTTAAAATAAATACCTAATGTACTAAGAATAAAGCAATTGAAGAGAAGATCTTATATTAGATTCTAATTTTGATGATCAAAACCAAATGTAAAGACCTTTTTCAATAAAAGGACCCGCTTTCAATATTTCTGGAAATATTATTTGGTTGTATAGTATAAAGGAATATAACTGGAACCTTTTTATAAGATCTAAGAGACAGAGATAGTCAACCTGTTTCAAAGCACCTAGCTTTCTTGATTTAGTAAACTTTGACACTTTTAATACCAAAATGCATGACAGTGAAGCTATCTCATTACTATATATGACAAGGAATCAAGTGGGGTTATGGTATGCACATTATTGCGGCTCCTAATGTTCAAAAAATATATATAAATCATTTTAAGCAGTGAACATGATTTCAAAGACTCTTTGAGCAACGCAAGAGCTGCTTAATTTATGAAAGTGTCTTTATCACACGTAGTCTTGACAGTAAAGTGTACACTCCTGAGACAAGGACATACAAGAAATGCTAATACCTTTGATTTTTCCAGATCTCGACAACATGTGAACACAGAAAATCCCATGATAATTTTAGACAGAACTAACCATTTAGCTTCCGCGATTAGATGTAAAGATTCCCCCTATGTATGGAATCAGTTGAACCCATTACGAGTCTTACAACCTCTTATTGTCACAAGAAAGACCATAAACACTATACTGCATGGTTACCTCTCAAAAGATCAATCTCTTTACATGTTAACTACACTAATTTTAATTAAGGCCTCACACGGCACAGTGCTAATGCAACTGATTAACCAGTGCATACAAAAACAGCTTATAGAACTATAATCATAGTACAATTATGAAGGATGGAGTAACAAACCATTCCAATCACTAAATGAAGAAGATATGACTAGCCAGATAATTTTAACGAATATACTACTCGGAGAAGCCCAAAAAGGGTCAGAATAGCTCCTATGTTTCATTGCTGCAGGTTGTGCATGACACTCTATTATGCTGAAGTGAGATAAAAGAGAGGCATTTAACAAACAGTTCTTAACACTTTGCCAGGCGTTATTTGTACCTAAACCCCTCGAAATTGAAGCCTCTAATATTTTAATATGACCATAACACTAACGCAAAGCTCAAACAGATTATTTCATCTAACCCATTGTCTCTGCATAAAAATCATTTCTACCAACTTGTGAAAATCTACATAAAATCCTTCAGCTAATACTAAAACATATACAAAGTATTGTTTCTAAATCATAATCCAAGCACATTATCCCACATATTGTCACTTTTTTTTCCTTTTTATCTGATAATTAGCAAAACCGATACTCTTTTTAGTGAAGTTTAAGATTGGACAGCAAGAATCCAACCCCATGGAAGCCATCAATATGGAAAGAAAGTAGGCAGAAAATCTCAAAAAACATCAAAACAATACCTCAAACCATTAGTTTGGGGTTGATAAAAATTGAACTATCAATTTCATGGCTAAATGACAAAGACGTATAGGAACATTACATATCAGCAAATACAACTGAAACAAAGTCTATAGAAAAAAACACTGGTAGATTCACCACTAATCAGACTAAAATGATGACCAGGCCATGTCAACGTTAACTCTTGCAATACTGAAATAATGTAACAATCACCAATGAGCAACAAATCTCTTGCAAGCACATTATTTACACCCCAAACATTAGCTTATCCCAACAATGGCCAGATAACAAAGTGTATTGCATCCACAATAAATAAACAAATAATATATCAGCTAAGATTATACCAACAGTATCTCCACTACATGATTCGAGAAATGGCGATTAATGAAACAATAGTTAAAAAAAATAAAAAATAAAAAGTTCCAAAAAAATTATAAAAGTAAGGTGACCCTCTTTTTTGCACAAGCCCAACCAAACATATAGAATCTGAAAGTTCAAAGGTATCATATTAATGCCTAATGCTATTGAAGTTTTTTGTTACATTGAAAGTAGACCAAAAAGGATTACACATAACCAAAGTTTTAAGATTGTATATTTTATCTTATTATTTACTTTTATTATTTTTACTCAATTCGTGTTTTAACATTGAATTTTAATCTTGGTTCTCTTTTAAAACTCTCTTAAAATTTACTTGGATGCTCTTTCTTTTTCTCACTTTATTACACACCTTTTTTACAAACTTTTTCAACTAATTTTCTTGTTATGTCCTTTTTTCAATATCGGACGGTTCCTTATGACGGTTCATATTAGCCAACCCCAAATCATTTTGGGACTAAGGCTTTGTTTGTTTTTGTTGTTTTTATAAATATATACATCCGCATGGTAATACCCGCGGTTTACTGCACATTCAAAGACTGTAAACCCTCAAGTAGCTAAGAGCATTACCTGTGTACCAGACTACCAGCTACTAACTACAACTTAGTAATTTCCCTGAGAGCATTGAGCTGTCCAATAACACCAAAATAGAATCTCTTACTCCAAATAAACAAATCATATACACATACAGAACAGTCAAACAACCATTCCCCCAAGCACTCCCGGAGAAAAGCCAATAAATATGCCCTTTTGTCACATGAAAGGTGCTAAATTCTCTTTCCAAATTTCTCCCTACACCACTTTCAATATTTTACCTCACTCCCTCTTACTACTTCAACCAAGATCTTCTGCCACACTAATTCTGGTTCATCTCAACTATTAGCTAAAAATCAACAGACACATAAATGGATCGGAATCGATTAACTTCCCAAAGTCTTACAGCAGAAGAGTACACTAAACTGGAAGATGTCATAAGCACATGCCACAGTGCTAATTTGCCTCCAAACAAATGCACATCTTTAATAATCCAGCGCATAAACGCACCGGCAAACGTTGTTTGGCGGTATGTCCGAGCCTTTGATAACCCTCAGGCTTACAAGTATTTGATCAAGAGTTGCACAATGAGGGGTGATGGAGGGGTAGGTAGTGTGAGGGATATAACAGTAATCTCAGGACTTCCTGCAGAGAGGAGCACTGAGAGATTAGAGATGCTTAATGATCAGAGACGTATATTAAGCTTCAAGGTCCTAGGGGGTGAACACAGACTTATGAATTACTGCTCTGTCACATCAATAAATGAAATAAACCACACAGGGAGGGTTTACACCATTGTCTTGGAATCCTACACTGTAGATATACCAGAGGGGAACACAGCAGAGGACACAAAGATGTTTGCTGATACTGTAGTAAAACTAAATCTTCAAAAATTAGCCGAGGTATCAGAGATGACAGCATCTTGAATGCCGAAGATCAATGGGTGTTGAGTGCAAAATTGTTGAATGGCTAGGTCTAAAGCTGGATTTTGACTCTGTCAGAGATTTTTCTCTTGTTAGTGGGAATGCTGTTACATCTTGTAAGTTGAATTTTTCCGCACTGTATTAGATAGTTGTTTTAAGCATGCTGATTGGTTGAAAAGTAATATCTCTGATGATCCAGAATACTCTATTTTTATAGACATAACCAATTTGAATTAAGATGGTTCTCTAAAAAAACAAGTCAAAGAGTCTAGGCTGGATGTCTTAGTGGTCTCGAAACCCTTAAATTACTCAGCTAGCAGACATAAAACTAGATTGAGATATGCTTGCACCTCATACATAATTAACCTTCGCACTAGAAAAAGGTTCCTCATAACTAGCAGCATTAGGTCAGTTGACTGCTTCTAGGAAGGTTTTTCAGCAAAATAGGATAACATTATATATACATATACCTCAACTATCTACCATATAATACTATTTCCTTTTAGAGTTATAATATGATTAACCCTTGGCAAAAGATTCAAGGAAAACATGATCAATAATCTAACCCAACTTGGATGATCAAGGGCTTTCATTACTGAACACATGATTGCATATTAAAATTCAAGTTTATTTGATTCAAATTGACAATAATTTGTTAGTGGAATTTTCTTACAATAATAATAAATAAATTTATTTGAATTATGTGTTGCGCGGGTCCTAAAATAGTAAGCTCTATTTTTTGCACCTTAAGAGAATTAATTTCAAGAGAAATATGTTATAATCCTCATCCAATTATACAAAAGCTTTCCACTGGCTACTATGTCAATACAAAAGATCTTAAACTTAAAAAGCATTATGAAATTCATGTAAAAAGAAAATAAACATTCCTTGTCTAAAACGCATAAAGAAGAAACAACTTTTAGAGTTTTCAACATAAAGACTTTTGAAAGAGATATATAACTACAAAGAAGATTGAAAGTATAAGTCATGGAATATTTGTTCACATTAAGTTTACTAGGCACAAGATAGTGAGAACATGCAACTATTAGAAATGAACATATGGTTGATAGGTTCTAATAAGTTCTAATTGAATAAAGGTTATAAAACAAGTTCTAAAAAGTTTTAATAAGTTTGATCCAAAATGAAAAGCACACGCTAAGTGTCAATGATTTAGGCCGTATTCTGTTCACCTTATTTTCGTTTATTTCAAGTTTAATAAGCTCATATAAGTTCAATTAGTTAAGATAAGTTGAGATTAGTTCATTTAAGGAAAAATAAGTTTTGATAAGGATTACCCAAGTTCAAATTACAACTAAAATAAGTTTCAATAAGTTCAGATAAGTTCAGTCTAGTTCAGTTAAGTTCAGTCTAGTTCAGTTAAGTTCAAATAAGTGAAAATCAGGTGAATAGAACACACCCTTACACACATACACTACTATTTATCACATCCTTATTTGATTTTGTTTATGGTAGATATAAAGCACATTCATCAAAGAGATTGTTACCCTTTAACAAAAGTTATTAAGAGCTTGGATTAACTTCTCATTGTCACAAAAAAAAAAAAAAAAAGGTATACACCCACTAAATACAACTTGCTCCACAAAATTGGCGAGGTCAAATGTAATTCAATTTCCGTTCCCTACTTCATCCACCACGCATTAAATTAAAAGGACCATACCTTCCATTTTCTCTCCATCTCCATTAGCGAGGTCAAATGTAACTCCATTCCCATAGCTTTTTCAATACATGTGGAAGAAAATGTTTTGGCAACAAGGGTATATGGAAGGACATGAAGTTTTATACAAATATGTCTATTGGAAAATTTGCATTATCTTGTAGTTGTCCATTATACTTATATAGCTCCTAATCTCCTATTGACTTGGAAAGAAAGAAATTTACTAGAATTACCGACAAGGAGATCAAAGGTATTTCCAGATTTTGAAAAACAATAGTCTCATTTAGCCCTCTGAAAGACAGAAACAACTCAACCAATATATAATTGTTTAGAAGACCCTAATTAAGGAGAGTGCCAAGTGATTGCCCTTTATCCTATATAAGATCAAGGCAAACTAAATCAAACTTCTCTTACCCTTCCTATATGATTCATCATCCATGCTTTAAGGTAAGTGCAAACATTCAAAAAAAAAAAATAAATAAATAAATAGATATTTTGAACAGAAACATAGAAGTTGCATAGCACAAAACTTTTGAACTTCTTCAAACTTCCAACTTCCTTTTGAATACCTTCATTCCTAATTCACATCCACTTTAACATTAAAATATCTACAACTCAACATGATCCATCTTAAATGTCCAACATTTCGACTCATAATGTGCTTAAGAGTTTACCCTTCAACTATGAAGGTTTGCCACAATCACACACCTCTCCAATTATTGTTGATATCCTCTCTATTTGACCCACTTGAACTCAATCTTGTGAGTCACACCTTCGTCAATATTTTGCTTGTAGGACTGACACAATGTACTTAAATTACTCACTCTCTAGCAACTCCTTTCCATCTAATATTACAATTTCTTTGTTTGACTCCCTTCTAATACTACTATCTTGACACTCTATGTACTTCATTTTCCTCATACTTGGTGTAAATACCTCCAAATTACAACTTTTGCCTCCAATGCTCTAATTTAGCATAAAATATCGTCTAACAATACAATACCATCTACAAACAACATGCACCATGGTGTCTCATCATGAGTAGACCTTGTTAATTGAATATCACTAATACTGCCTCTGAATTTGAATGTTTCTTACATTTACTACTTGCACACAAATTAAGGAAATTAGAGAAAGTGAGTGTTAATGAAGTGAGTGGATATAAGATAAATTTGGATAAAAAAGAGAGATTGTGTAAATAGGTGGGTGATTGCAAGAAAAAAGGTGGATAAAGAGAGATTGTGTAAAGGAGTTGGTGTACGCATGAAATAAAGGTGGATGACGTAAGAGAGTGAGTGGAATGGTATATATATTGTGGACTACGCAGGGTAAGGTAGTAAAAAGGATTTGCCAAAATGCAACTTTCAAAAACAAACAAATTCGCGAAATGTTAAAAACATCAAAAACAGGGTAGTATATACATTTAATTCATTATTCGGTATCGGCAATAATATAGGATACTATCTCAATTTCAAAATAAGCGCATTAATTGACTTATTGCACTATTTAGTCTTGCTTTGACCATAGCTTTTTTACTAATATATTAAACAAAAATTAGTAAGATGTTTTTTAGATTCATCTTAATGTAATAGTTTCAATAATTAGCTATTCATAATTTTATAATAGAGAATGAGAGATATCAATGGCCAAACTAATACATTAGCAAGTGTGTTAGTCAAACTAATGTATAGGGAGTAGCATTTTGGGACATCCTATAAAGGAATTGTAGGATAATATATTGGTCATATGGGATAGAGCCATACAAGAATTATAATTGAGATGAAAGGTCACTTTAGTCATTCCCCTTGGAACAACTTTAGTTAATGGTAGATTGCAAAAGTCAAGGTATGTCATAAATGATCACTAGGAGTCTGGGAGCTATTTAGGCACAAGCAAGACTAAGATTGTTATCCATGCAGGTGGATTGTTGAGTTGTTGATTGAAGAATATCGTTGAGTTCAATTCTAAATATACTCCATCAACATAGTATGTTATACAAAAAAGCTAGTTATAATGCTAGTCATGGTGTAAAAACAAGGCCAAGGATTTTAAATTGCCTGGACTTAAATCGTCCATATCAACAAGCGCTCTTTCAAACACCCACGATCACATCTATCAAATGTTCCAACCCCAAATCACCAAACATTGAACGTTACATCAATCACTTAAAATTTACTTCGTGTTAAGAGATATAGTGAAAGATTCCCCATGTCTTCCCACTAATGGCTCTAGTCATATATTATACTACTCTAATTATTCTAATACCATCTAACTACTATAATATCCTAATGAGACTTTGAAATTAAAATCGTGACACGGCCTGCAATCAACACATCATATCCATTCTCTAACACCACGATTGCTCCTGCGATCACAACCAAAATTGCATTTTCTAACCATGATGGAATCCCGAGAAAGTAACACATGTATTGGATTTAGGTGCAATTTAGAGATATTCTATAAAGGTTTGCATTAGATCAAATTTTGAGCCTTTTGGCCGTAGCATCAAATACATAGGCAACTTGTTATAGCTAATGACTTGGTACTTTTAACCAAAATCCCATATTATTATAGAACACTATGGAAGCTTAAGTAGATTTTGTTTCTTTTTAATTTTTAACCCCCTCTTACCTTAACCATAAATTACATTGTTGATAATATTATCAGCACAAAATAGAATCATGCCTCATCTCAACCAACTTGGAGAACTCATATTTGGGTATCACATAATTTGAATGTTACGATTGATGTGTATGAACATCGCAAAGAATATAATTAATAATGAAATTATTTGAAAGAATGTTGGTTTGCAGATATTAAGGATGATATAGGAAAGATACAATTACGTTGGTATGGGCTTGTGAGGTGGCCAAACTTGTAACTTGTAAGGAAAATGGAGAGTTATGACCATGGGATTTATAGAAGAAACCAAGGAGGCCAAAGTTACTCAGATGAAGGGAAATTAGGATGATATAAATAAATTGGGTTCATAAGAACATATGGTACTTAATTTTTGTTATAAAAAAAAAAAGGGAATATAGGGAAAGAATCTTTGTCAATAAACACAGGAGATGAAATCAATTTAGTTTACGCAACCAAGGCCAAATGCCTTCTCCACCTCACCATTGAATTATTTCTTTGGTCAAATAAGTAAACATTCAATTTGAAATTCCTTGTAAACAAAGGACAAATGAAATATTTTATGCTTAAAACTAAGGATCAAAGAGTTTCAAATACTCCATCCGCCCCCTTAAATAATCGCCCATGTTTTCATTTTAGATTGTCGCAAGTTAATTGCCCTTTTTCATTTTCAGGGAAGGTCCTCTAGTTAAAAAAAATAAAAATTGGTATTTTATTCCACAAAGGCCAACCACAAGAATTTCCCTTAATCTATGTGCTCAAAAAAAGTCGGTTATCTGTTAGGGGCAAAGAGAGTAAAATAGGACAAACAAAAAAGAAGATGCTAGTTAGAAGGAAGATACAACTTATTAGCCAATTTACATATTTTCTTAGTTCAGAAAAGCTTCTTGACTTCATCAATTTCCAACATTTTAAGACATATTTGACATAAACATATTAAAGATCATTAAAAACAATGAATAAGCCACTTCTTTAATATATTGGGCGGCAGCACATCTCCCTTGCTCTCAAACTAAAAAGGTGTACTTATACACATTATTAGCATCACGTGATCAAAAATATGTGCATGCGCACACACAGAATGATTCATTGGCAAACATAATAAGAAAACATGGCTATATAGCTACTTCTACACAAACATACCTCCAAGTTATCCATCAAGAAAGGGCATGTGCTCTTATGTGGCGTCTACATCAGGAAATCTCATCTGAGTAATATAGGCATTTAATAATCGCCGATTGATTCAATCCAATGTCATGATGCCAAACCCCAAATGGCAAAAAGCAATTGACGTGGTCTTAAAAACCTACATAAGCAAGAGCCGAAATGATCCCAGTACAAAATTAATTGAGTTAATAGAGAAACTCATATGCAAGTAATTGTAAAGTGCTTAAAATTTGTGGTACTACCTTAGCAGAATGTACAATAAGTCTTGCAAGAAAATCATAGCAACTTCAGACCGAAAAAAAAAAAAAAATGTAATCCAATCTAGTAGCTAAAGGTTAAAACCAAATCAAGCAGGCTATGATAGAATAGTATATTTGAATGCTGCCCATGAGCACAATGACACACAAAGATAATTTATCTGCAAAGATCATAACATGCAACTGGAAATATTAAATACACAAAAATGTTGCAAAAGTAATCATTCATTGTATCATTAGATCATCTCTGCCTTTTACGGTATGTAAACCCAAACTCGACTCTTATCAAGAATAGCTGAATTAAAATTCCTTTTGACCATATAGCATATGCATTTGATCATCCCAAGTCCATATGTGACAGATTCAAAGGATATATAGCTAAACGTGGAAAACAAGTCACTCAATCAGATTCAGTTCAAACCATATTTGAGAGATGAGTCATTTGATATGGTTTCAACAAGGCCTGGTAATCAGGCAAATCGAGTCAAGATCGGTGTCGGTCAATAGCTAGGCGGGTCATAAGAGGCTCGGCCAAAGCCGATTATGCATATTAATGATGGGAAGGTCATTAAATGAGCATGGAAAAATGAAAAGCACTAATGAATACAAACCCTACATGTAATTTTTTTTTTTAAATCATAACTATTTTCATATAAAAAATTATTGGGCAATTATATTGACCTAGTCCATTAAAATCCTATCCAATAAGATTCCTTTTAAATTGACCCTAAACCTATACCATTGAATCACCTTCTCCAATAACCAATACAAGTTTTGGGTCATATTTGATTGAATTGTCATCTATCACGTCATCAACAATCATTCAATATAAGCTACATTAAATTTAAGGTATATTTCATTTTTGTATCCAAATTCTGGCCAATTATGAAAACCATATGCTTAGTGCAGAAATTAGTAATTTAAACCAACTTGCTAGCTAATTTTTATGAGAATAAGGTTGTTCCCCATCATATCCAGCCCATTTCCATTCCCATTCCCTATATTGACCCATTCCTGTGACTCAACATCTCCTTTTGATGATTTTGTCAGCACTATTTTTAAAGCTGCCTTCTTTTGAAATCAAAATTCTCTTCAGCTTATTTTTCAATGGAAAAAAAAAAAAGGAATTTGCAATGACTTCCCCACTAGAAATTCATTTCTCACTGTAAGCATTGGTAGATAGAAGTGTAGGACAAAACGGATCTTGCTGTCAAATATGATAAAAATGGTATGACAAATTAAATGAGGTGGCCAAATATCCCATGATGAATGAGAAGCACACAAAATGGAAATCGTTTACATGAATACACAGGAAATCAAATCTACAGATTATAGCATCCAATGAAGAACATATTATGTCATACCGTCCTTGAGACATTCAATTGAAACACTTATCAAACAATCACTTTTCTGCCACCTAACTCCACATAATAAGAGTTCATCATGTTTGTCACGTTTCTTTTTAGTTGGCACGTTTCATTAGTCATGTTTGTCAATGAATAACTTCGACCATTAATATATTTAATTAACAATAAGCAAAAAAAAGTTGATATTTTGAAATTATATATCGAGATGATCTATCAAGATCCCACAGGTCACATGACTATGTTTTATTATCACATATGAACGACACAAGTTTAATGGCTCTTTTTATTTCTAATGATATAGATTGACAAAAAAAAATAAGACAAAGATTAAGTTTTAAACTGCCGCTTCAACTTAATGATCCATAGGCACTTTTTGCCCAATTGATCATCTTTCTTCAATTTTTTTTGCTAGATAATTAAAACGTCTTGGCTTACTATGAATTTATACTTGCTTATCACAAAGTCTGCCCAGATAATTTTTTCAAGAGAAATAACAAATATTAACGTACACTAGCAAAAAATTCATCAAATAGTCAAGCACCAAATTTTATTTTTTTAAATTAAAGAGCAAATGTAATGCACTTGGGGAATTGTCCAAAAAATAAAGTAGTATGCTGGAAAAGAATGAAAAAGCATCATGAATACACAAACATTCTGGAAGAAGCTTGGTTATCTTTCTAAACCTTGTATTCAAAAATTAAAGTATTCGGTAAAATCCTTTAGCAAGCGCAAGCCGCATGATATACATCCTATCATTGGCACTGACCAGATAAATGGAAAATAATAGAACAGACTAATGCCGTTAAGCTTTGTTATTTGCAACCTAGAATTTATTGTACGCCATAGGAAAGTTGCAAATATAGTAGACCATGTAATTCCCAATGATAGCTACATAAAACAACAGTAGTGAGGAATTACCACATTACAAAAGAGTGAAGTCTGCTCCAATTTTCATTTCTTGGTGCAGTACTGGCCTGATCACCATCTCTGACAAGATATACAGGAATGTAAGTAAGATACTTGTCCTGCAAAAGAATGTCCAAAACAAAAAGGAGAATTGAGATAAGATTATATAAAAACAAGATATATGAGGCAGTAAATCACAAAAGATGGAGACTGTAAAATAAAGGATAAAAAAAACCATGCACACAAACAGATACAAATCGCAGAGCATAAAACAAAAGGCAAAATAAAAATTGGTTTCTACATGGACATTTTAGGCTTACTCGTCATACCACATCAGCAAGAAATATAACCAATAAAGGTTTTAAGGCAACTTTAAGAATATCGAATGTATTAGTGTAAATTATATCCACAAGAAAAAAGACAATGTAAGGACGGTAAGGTGCACACTTCATAGTCGTCATGAATTAACCCATAAAAATGATACAGATATTCTACAACAAATGAACCCAGGTACTGGCACAACAAAGTGACAAAACTGTCCAGGAAAGCAACAGCTGAAGAAGAAAATTAATAATCTTACTTAAATGTTCAAAATCAAGTTCACTCATGTTGCCAGCCATGAATCATGGATTTTCAGTTAAATGCACTATATATATCTAAAAAATTTAGCTAACCAGTTTTCCTTTTTTGCATGGGCTACTGGCTAGTCTGCTCACATTTTACCCTTCTTAGGTTTACAAAAACTCTAGTAAAAAAAGGAAAAAAAAAAATTTAAAAAAATAAAATAAAACACACACACACACATTTACAGCATTGTCTAGATTAGAAGACACCACAATATTGAGACTTTACCCAAGATCATATATAGGCGCAGAAAACCGAGTAAAGTTGATCCAACCCAAAACCAAGACCAAACCCACAACAATATTGAAATTGAGGGTCTTGAACACAATGTTTTAACCCAAAACTTGAAGACCCACCATACATAATAGATTTAACTGATACCAATACAACTAAACCCAAAATTACCAGACCTTACAGAGTTACTCACTCGTATCTGACATGCCCATCAGAGCATAACAATGAATATTTAACTAAATTACATAGACATGTGTATATGTATATCAAATACAATACCTTGCATGCTTCTTTACATTATGTTTACAAAGCGATGTGATACAAAATAAGCAGACAGCTATGAAAATATTGAAATGTGCAATTGAATTTAGTTACATGTATTGAATGAAAGTAACTATGTCACAAGAATTATATACATTCTCAAAAACTAAAATAAAATTAAAAATAATAGATTTGTATATGATAAAATAACCCCAAATCCCAACATCCTCAAAACTATTAAAAATTCATGTGTTGGCAAACAAAGGCACACTTTAGATCAAAGTTTACTACCCACTTGATTAAATTAAATCAATAAAAAATTATCATTTTTTTTTTTGGAATTCTGATCATAAATCAACACAAATCAACTGTTTCTAGAGACCACCCAGAAATTAATTGTTACCCATTCCAAAAAATCTACACTTTACACAACCTAAGATTGAAAACTACAGTAGTACTAATGTTGGAAAATGGGTTAAATTTGTTGTTTTGTTTTTACGGAGTACTAATTACAAGGCAACTTTTAGGATGAAACTCAATAGAATTTGAACAACATGAATTAAAAAAAACAGCTCAATTCAAATAAAATAATATCATCCAATTAAATAAAACATATAATAGGACGATGTTAGATTACATTAATCCTAGATTAACCCTAATCAGAAAACATTAGAAAAATAAAAAATTAGAAGGTACCTGAGGAAGATGTCGGCAAGACGAGCGTAACCCATGTGGCATCTGCCAAATAACATAGTATTTAAAAAAAGTAGGAATGGTTAAAGCCTGGGATTTTGAGCTCGCCGACCTCCTCTGTTCGCTTGCTTTCGGTGGGGATGATCTGCATTTCTGCAGCTGATTTTCACTGGGCTGGTTTTTCTCACTCCAATTTTTTTTTATTTTTTTTTTTAATAACTCTCGTACTCCCTCCGTCTCATATTATAATTCCAGTTTTTCTATTTTAAAGATTTAAAATGTTGTTTTTGTTTCTATTTTTGGATAGTATGTATTACCCTTAAATTATCCACTTGTCTCGTACTTTTTTTTCACTTTCTCTCACTAACTTTTGTCTATAATTGTACCTTTATTTTTTTTCCCTTAAATTATCCATTTACCTTGTACTTTTGTCAAAATTTTATCTAGCTTTTTCACTTTTAATGTACTTCAGCTACTTTCTCCTCACATTTCTTAAATACCGTGAAAAGACACAAACAGGAACTATATATACAAACAGGAACTATATATTGGGACGGAGGGAGTATAAAATGGGTTTACGTTAATTTTAGTGTAAGAAGATCAATTTTAGGGTAACTTTTTTTTTTTGTATAAGTTTGATTGTATTTATATGACTAATCTAATACATTATAAATATTTTATAAGGGTAAAATTTTTGTTATAAAAATGGTAACTTTTGTAGTATAAAAGGGTAACTTTAAATGTTTTTATGGTAATTTTAACCCGTTTTACAATAACTTAATGAAAGTTCGCCTTAATTAAGAATTTGTGAGAAATGTAGACGGAATTTGATCTGGTGCCAAACTGCCAGTTTGCCAATAGTCAGGCTAGGCCTGTAGAGGATCCAAATTTAAATGCAACACAATTAAAAAAAAAATGCTATAACATAACCCTTAGAGTTACATGCTTACACATAAGGAACTAAAATTCTCGTCCAAAAAAAAAAATGAAAATATAACATTAATTACACTGATTTGTGTGTGATTTTATCATTCACTAAATTAGGTATCGTACCATGCACGATAATTTCACTAAATATAATCAATAAAAAAAATTGTATTAAAATAACATAGATAAAATACAACTATATTTATTATCTTCTACTTTTGCGTACATAATGAAATGAAATATGAAATATAACGAAAGAGTCGATTAGACAAATTAGTATATTAAAACTACATGTTAGACCATATGAATGTTTTAAAAATAATGATTCTTTTTTCATTAACCAAATAAGTATTTAAAATTATGTATTACACCTAATGGGCTGGAATAATAATCCCGACTTGATATTTAGTCAATTTTTTTCCCCAAATTTTGATAATATATGAAAGTATTCATTATACAAATAAAAAAAGAATGAAATTTAATTAATCAAATTTTCTTACATGATTACATACATAGATAATAAAGTGTTTATGATGTTATGCTATATTATGTTGTGAAACTCCCTTCATTTTCTTATGTTATTCCTATTAGAAATAGGTGAGAAATCTATTAAAGTATTTTTTAAGAAAGTCAAAATTCCCGTATTATTATTATTATTATTAAAATTATTATTATTATTATTATTATTATAATAATAATAATAATAATAATAATAATAATAATAATAATAATAATTTGTGTTGTGCGAATCTATTATTAATTACCTTATTCATTTGAAGGAATAAAAAATGATGCACTCCATAATAAAGATATGACATACATAATAAATTAAAACTCCGTAGTATTTATTACGTAGTATCACCAATAGAAAAATAGAAATGAGCATCGATTTAAAATCGGCTTTTCGCACTGGTTTTGAATCGATTGAGATTTGAGGGATGCGAAAAATAGAAATTAGTCGCAACGGTTCAAAACCAGAGGTAATATTATTTAATAGCACCGGTTAATTGATGCGCATTTGTTGTTATTAGCACCGGTTAACCGATGCCCATTACGCCTTAAAAAAAATAAAAAAAAATAAAAAAAGAATTTGCATTTTTTCACTTAAAAATAAATCAGAGACAATGAAATATAATCGTAATATACATTAATCACTTATATATTCATCAAATAAATTGTTATTTTACAATTTATAAAAAAATAAAATAAAAAAATAGAAAATAAACCAACTACAACACTGAATTAAAACACCAAAATCTACATCTTGAATCCTTCTTCTGTGTGGAGTCGTAAACTACTACCTGCATCAATTTTTATTTTATTTTTGGAAGGAATACTACCAGCATCAATTAAAACACCAAAATTAATAAAACCCATAATAAACTAATATTCCAAAACCAAAAAATTGTAACGATCTAGTAGAAAATCTAGTAATATTGAACATAGAAAAACATTATAAACCCAAAAACAAAATTAATCATGATATATAATCCTTAGAACAAAGAAAAAAAAACCCAAATTAGATCTACAAGACAAGCAGCAATTTCAAAATTGTAGATCTAATTGGAACAACCCACCACCACCACCACCAGCAACAAAACCACATAAACCTCCAAGACCAACCGCAATTTCGAACATATTACATCAATTAAACCCAAAAAAAATCATGGCAATTTAACATGAATAATTGAACCAAAACGCAAAGCTAAAGAACCCAGAAACCCTAACCTCAAATTTCTGATTTTCTAATCGAAAATTCATTCAAGTTTGTTGTGGTCGTGCTTGGTTCTAACGACGCCGATTATCGACGGAGGGCAGCGGTGGCTGATGCTTGCATGGTTCGAATAATTCACGGCGGCAACGATGGTTGTTGTGCTTGGTTTCGAAACTTCGACTAACGCATGCAGTGGTCGGTGGTTAGTGAGAAGAGGAAGAAGAATGAGAGATGAGAGAACACCGAGAGATGAGAGAGAAGGAGAGAACAAATGATGAAAGAGAAAGAGGTGAGAGCTGTAGACTTGAATGAAATAGAGAGGCGGATGAGAGAGAGAGAGAGGGGGGGTTAAGGGTTTATAAAATATAAAATTAAAGGGGGCACCGGTTAACCGGTGCATTTGTTTTTTTATTTTTTTTTGGTATTCATTTTCTAAAACAAAAAGCATCGGTTAACCGGTGCCATTGTATTTTTGCCCATCGGTTTTTAATAACTGGTGCTCAATCTTCGATGCGCATTTATGTTTTTCTACTAGTGTATAATGTATTGTCCCATTATTAAAAGATATGGAAAATGGAGTAATAGCTACATATGAAGAACGGCTATTTCACCAAATGCCACTGAGTACTTAAAAAATTCACCAAATGCCATCGTGTTTTTCAAAATTCACCAAAAAGGCGGATGAGGTTTAGTACAATATCACCAAATGCCATTTCCGTTAGTTGACCGTCAGTATATAAAGAGGAGTTTTTTCCCGAGTTTTTAGACAGCCATGTAGAATAAAAATTTCTTAACGCACCATGTAGGATTATAAATTTTAGTTATAGTCAATTACATGAGAGATTTGTAATTTCTTTTAGAATTAAATAATTCAATGCCAAATAAGCAAAATTGACGAATAAGATTTTAAAGATTAATTTAATTAAATATAAAATATTATCTTTTGAGATTATGAAATTTATTAATATATATAACGAATGAGATGAAATTCGCAATTTATTTTTAAATAAAAATACTAAATGATATATTACGTACAACGAATAAAATACTTCCTCCGTTTTTTTAATATTGCATCCCTTGCCTTTTAAGGAAATTTCACAAATATTGTACCATATCCATTTTAGGAAAAGAAATATTTGTGTTCACACTACAAATACCTAATATACCCTTGCTTTTCGACCCTTACTTTTTATTTTATGTATACAATCACGTGGGCAACTTTGTATTTCTACCTTTCTCTCTCATCCTTTTTTCCACTTCCAAAAAATTTGTGCCAAATCCTTATGGTGCAATAATAAAAGAACGGAGGAAGTTTTAAATTTATCACATATATATAAAAAAAAACTAGTTTTGTGCCCATGCGATGCTCGGGTTGTTGATTAAGTTTTTGTCCCGAATGCCAAATATTATCACGTGTTATTGACACAAATAAATAAAATTCTATGAATGGAAAATGTAGCATACCCTTGATTTATGTAACAACAATATATGTTAGGAACAATTGGTAAAAATAATCCCAACTTTTGCCCGTTCGCTCAAAATAATCCCAAATTTGGATTATTTTTAAATAATCCGAACTTTGGGGGTCATTCGCTCAAAATGGTCTCAATTGGTCACCCAACCTGTTATAACAAGTTAAGGTGACACGCGTCACCATGTGATTGGTTGAAAAATATTAAAATTAAATAAAAACTTTAAAAAATTTAAAAAAAAAAGAAAAACTTAAAAATAAAATTAAAAATAAAACTCGCCCCTGCCCCAGCCATCGACCACCCTTACTACCACCATCCTCGGCACCACCAATCAGCCCTCTCCCCATTCTAACCACCCTCACTGCCGGCGGCCTTTCCCCTACCTCTGTTCGTCAGTCCTTCCCTCAAAACCACCAAACCACCAAGCAAAACCCACATCTCGGAATTCCCCACCTTGAAATCTTAAGAAAAACCCTCCTCCGACGTGTAAACCCCTAACCATCCCTCCCCGACCCTCAAAACCCTAACGACTAGGGCTTTCGAGGGTAAGGAGTATTTGCTGGGGGTTTGTACGGTGGGAGATAGGGTTTTTAAGAGATCTCGAGATTCGGTTTTTGCGGTGGTTGTTTTGGAACGCGATCGAGCTGAAGGTAGGGGGATGGGGCATCGCCGGTAGTGCGGGGTAGGGGGATCTGGGTGCGGCGTAGGACGGGGGCATGGGAGGGACTTAGCTGGGTTGGTAGGGGGGCTTCCGGAATTGTAGATGGTTGTTGGGGTTGCGTGGGCAGGTAAGGCTGGTTCTTTTTTTTTAAAAAAGTTTTTTTTGAATAAAATATTTCAACCAATCTGGTGGTGACACGTGTCATTTAAATTCAAAAAAAAAACCTCCTAAACAGGTTACCGGTCACTTATGACTATTTTGAGCGAATGACCCCTAAAGTTCAGATTATTTAAAAGTAATCCAAAGTTGGGATTATTTTGAGCGAACGGGCAGAAGTTGGATTATTTTTACCTATTTTTCCTATATGTTATAGAATTATACTTTGTATGAGATAAAAAAACGGTGTAAATTTTTATAAATTCTTAAGTAAGATATATCTATGTGTAGACACCTTATTGTGTCTCCCCAAAAACCAAACCCAGTGATGAGCATCTTTCACGTCTTTGATTATCGAGTTAGGTGAAGAGTTGAAGAGTCTCGTGAATTTCTTAAGCCTTGACCTTACCCCTGACCTTTCTTAAAATGTTTTAACTCAAAATCATTCATTACGTGTCCTTAAAATCATTCATTTCGTGTCCTCTTTATTAAAAAATGTCCAAACCTGATTATTTTAGTCCATAATTCTGGTCCAATTTTTGTGTAGTTGGATGGAGTTTGAAAAGAGCTTTCCAACGATATATTATAAGCCCAAATCAGACTTATAACGAAGAAGTTATGGCCAAAATAATAAATCGAGCCTTACCTGCGACCCAATGACCATGTGGAGGTTCCATTAACCTTAAACATCATTCCTAAATCCCTTAAGATTTATTATTAGCTTCTAGAATTCTCTAGAAGGTTCTAATTTATCCTGTTTTTGGAAGATAAAGATTTAAGAATTTTACATCGGATAAAACGCTTGTTTTTCAATGATTTTATTTTGATAAAATTAGAATACGTACGGATATTCGGCTAACCCAAGTTGATTGGGAGTCGGATTCCTTACAAATCTTATCTTCCAAAAAGTATCGCCGAGCGATAGAAATATTGCAGCGATATTCCTATCGCGTTGTGATGAAACCCGTTTTACTCCGAGACAAATTCTGGCTCTTTTCTGACCTTCGACCCTCTTTTTTCCCTATAAATAGAGGTCGTTTTACCCTATTTTGATTCTCCAACAATCATCATCTAATCCCTCTCTCTAAGCTAAAGCTTTTCTCTCTCTCTCTTTTTCTTTCTAGC